AGCTCTACTCAAATCACTTTTAAATGAGAAAGGTACATAGTTCGGAAAACTGTTTGGTGAAGATTTCACATGCTCTAACGGCTGGCTAGATCGGTTTAAAGCACGGCAGTCAATTTCCTACGAAATTGTTGGAGAGGCAAAATGTGATTACGAGAACGTGACAGGTGATTGGTTACAAAACACATGGCCACAACCATACAAGGATGAAGAAATCTTCAATGGCGATGAAATGCCTTTGAAAAATGTTACTTGATTGCAAAAATTGAGTCTCTTTCCGCATGATTTGTACATGAATCTTTGTTCTATCAGATTTATTTCTCTTTTACTTAATCATCTGAATAGTTTGTTTAGCTTTATTGCGTTTGTAAATGTTTTGAACCAATGATACCTACGTAGCGATATTAATGGAGTTGGAGTCACGTTTAATTCAACAAGTATTTCGATAAAAAGTATGAACTTCCTTTTTTAAATATATCTTGGAAATTAAACATAAATTATAAAGTAAACAATTTATTATTGATGTTTTGACTTACACAGATAACAGCTGTTTTCAAAATACTTGTTTTAAATAATAACAATCCTCGTTTGACACATTAATTGTAACTTATGATCTAATCTTATTACAAATTCGGAACTTTTATTTTTGGACTATAAATAGAAGAAATTAAACGCAAACAAAACAGTATTAGACCCCTTAGGGCGCAACTGTACTCCAAGAAAGAAGCATAAAACCATACCAAAATAAGTTAAGTTAACGTTGTTAATCGCTTTATGTATTTCTCTTCTGGTATAACCATAAGAGGTAAGCGCTTTTTCAATATGAAGAAGTTCACTTTGCGATGCTGTGGTTCACAAATTCTCTTCGCCCTCTCCGCCAGAGTTTTGATGATGCCTTGTTTTTGCATGTACCGGGTGGTCCAATAAGCCGATCTCTCGGCTATATATCAGAAATTATTCATGTTATAACTTTAGGAAAAAAAATTCCTTAGTAAAAGTGGCCAAGAGAAATCGCTGGAAATAACTTTCAAGATTCTGGACTAACCGCTAGGGGGCGTAACCTACGAAGAAAATTTTGAAAACCAGTTTTTTGGGAAATATGTCCAATTATACCAAGTGTTAAATAAGTAAACTAGAAAGAGGCATAAATTCTGCACAAAGTTGTTCAAGTACTTGTTTTAATTTTTTCAAATAAAGGGTGGGGGAGAGTGGGAAAGTATTTGTGGATAAATACCTATAACTTTGGTTTGGTCCAACCGATTTTAATGAAATTAGTGTCATTAGAAAGAGTGTGGATGAATTAATTCACATCTACTATAAAATACTTACATTTAGTTTTCATAGTCGTAGGTAGAGGGGACTTTCAAATAAAAAAAATTAAAATTTGTTTTTCTTCAAAATTTTTAATGGAAACACCTATTTATTGTAAATTATAATGGAACTGGAATAAATTCGTAACAAAATGGCGCAAACCGCATGTTAATAGCTTTTGTTGAACTCGAGATATGAATAAAAACTCATAAACATAAGTAAGTATAGTATTGACACACCCTGTATTATAAATTACATTAAAAAATAGGTCAGTAGGTATTTTCAAATTTTTTTATAGCAGAAGGATCTTAATGTTGATACCTATTTTGTAAAAAATATTTTTTTTCGAAACTAAGTAGGCTACGACAATGAATTTGACGGGGAGTTCATATTGTTTATTTATTGACAGCAGTCAAAACATTGTTAAGAAGTGCTATATTATAATTCGAATTAAAGATTGCACTTTTTTCAACAGATATTAATATTGGTAATATTAGTAATTAATATCAAATTGTGTGATATGATTGGAGTTTATTTCGAATGTCACCAAAATGCCGCTATTGTCTCACGTATATATTTTGTAAGATATCCTGACAGGAGACATTATGGCAAAGAAGTATTTGAAAGAAAGGCAAAAAGATTAAGAGAAACTGGTAGTTTTTCTCGTCCTTGTTTTAAACGACGTAGTAGAGTTATGACCGAAGATAATTCAATCAATGTTCTTGCTTTAATTGAACAGAATCCACATATAAGTAGTCCGAAATCTCTACTTCTTTGCCACAATGTCTCCTGCCAGGATATCTTACAGAATATATACGTGAGGCAATAGCGTCATTTTGGTGATATTCGAAATAAACTCCAATCATATCATACACTTTGATATACTCATCACGAATTATTAGTACTGATAATTAATTACTAATATTACCAATATTAATATCCATTGAAAAAAATGCAATTTTCAATTCGAATTATAATACATATAACACTTCCTAACAATATTTTAACTGCTGTCAATAAATAAACAATATGAACTCCCTGTCAAATTCATTGTCGTAGCCTACTTAGTTTCGAAAAAACAATTTTTAATCATAAGAAATAAAAATGGTTAAAATAGGTAGCAACATTAAGAATTTTTTGCTATAAAAAATTTTGAAAGTACCTACTGACTTATTTTTTAATTTAATTTATAATACAGGGTGTGTCAATACTATACTTACTTATGTTTAGGCGTTTTTATTCATATCTCGAGTTCGATAAAAGCTATTAACATGCGGTTTGCGCCATTTTATTACGAATTTAATCCAGTTCCATTATAATTTACAATAAATAGGTGTTTCCATTAAAAATTTTGAAGAAAAAAAATTTTAATTTTTTCTATGCGAAAGTACCCTCTACCTACGACAATTAAAACTAAATGCAATTATTTTATAGTAGATGTAAATTAATTTATCCATACTCTTTCTAATGACACTAATTTTGTTAAAATCGGTTGATCCATACCAAAGTTATAGGTATTTATCCACAAATACTTTCCCACTCTCCCCCACCCTTTATTTGAAAAAATTTAAAAAAAAGTACTTGAACAACTTTGTGCAGAATTTATGCCTCTTTCTAGGTTACTTATTTAACACTTGGTATAATTGGACATATTTCCCAAAAAACTGGTTTTCAAAATTTTCTTCGCAGGCTACGCCCCCTAGCGGTTAATCCAGAATCTTGAAAGGTATTTACAGCGATTTCTCTTGGTCACTTTTACTAAGGAATTTTTTCTCCTAAAGTTATAACATGAACAGTTTCTGATATATAGCCGAGAGATCGGCTTATTGGACCACCCGGTACAAATTAGAAATACAGACAGAACTTATAGAAGCTACAAAAGCTCTGTATAAAGAAAATAAAGTGTCCATTAAAATGGGAACAAGAATATAGGAGACTTGACCACAACAAAAGGGCTCCTGCAGGGTTGTTCCACATCTCCAACCCTATTTAAAATATACTTAGAGACAGCCTTGACTACATGGAAAAGAAAATGCGAAGGCATGGGAGTACCGGTACGGAACGAATACCTATATACGTTAAACTATGCAGAAGATCAAGTAGTGATTGCACAAGGCCAAAAAGACCTCAGTTACATGATGAAGAAACTACAAGATGAATATACTAAGGCTGGCCTAAATATTAACCTCGCGGAAGCAGAGTAACTATCTACAAGTGAAGAAGACATAGAAGATCTATAGATTGACGACAACGTGTTTGCAGCAATCCGACAACTTAACTCAGTATGGTGGGATAGACACCTAAATATGAACACAAAAACACAGATTTATAAAACATTAGTGCGAAGTATTATGACATATGGGGCTGAAAATTGGATTATAGACAAGAAAAACAGCAGTAAGATAGTAGAAACAGAGATGGAATGCCTGCGAATATACTGCAGGGAAAAAAGAATGGATAGGAAAAGTAATGACGAAATAAAGCAAAGAACATCAATAGAAATGGACATACTGACATATATAGAACAAAAAAAACAAAAGTGGTATGGACATGTAAGAAGAACTAGCCGCAGCAGATGGATAGAGAGAATAAACGAATGAAGGCCCATAGGAAGGAGGAAAAAGAGGACGACCCTGAAGATCCTAGAGGAACAAAGTAGACGATGCCATTATTAAAAGAGGCCTAAACGATGGAGAATGAGACGGCAGAGAATGCAGTGAATACTGTAGAATTCCTGAATATATAATCCGATATGCCATGTGTCTGTGCAATGCATATATTAAAGAGAGTCTGTGGGAAACAACAGTACAACATATATATTTATTGATGGAAAATGGTTGTAATAATTTACTGACTGCTTTTATTTGTAACATTGATTCTCCTGCTGATTGATTCCTGGAATAACTTACTAATAGGTACAGTATAATCGCTTAATGGATGCCTATAAACATGAGATCAATTTCCTGATTTGTACTTGAGTTGGTCCATAAAGTTCAAGAATATACATTGGTTGGCATTATTTAATCTATAAAAAAATTGTTGATGTATATTTCCCATGTATGTATGTGTTCTTCCTTGTCTACAATAAGTTTGTTGTTCTCATCTACTAACGATCTAAGCTATCTTTTCTTGTAAGTATAAGTAACCTCTTTAATATTTTTATGCGTGTTAAAGTTATCATGTCTTTGTTTTTGTTCTTCTATCTCTTGAAATATTTCTCATAACCATTTCTCTTTTACCTTTCTCTTGTGAATCATTGTATAACCTGAGAGAAATAGAAAACTTGGAAAATGATTATATAAATAGATGGAATAACAAATAAAAAAAGCAACTATAAAATATACGGAATGGTATAGAATTTAAGATTTGTGAAAAGCTGAGGAGTTATGTTAGCTGTCATGTAAAGTGATAATGGAAATGTAGTACCTCAATTAACTAGTATGTGCTTTATGTCTTTTATAGGGAGGAAGTTCAAAGTATAACATTTAGAGGTATAAAACTGTTATAGACAGTTCAAAGGATAAAGAGAGAATTATATGTTTTCATACTATGTACCAAAAAGCCATTAACGATTTTTTAAAAAATATCGATTTTTTAAAGTCAACAGTGGTTAACTTTAAACCTGACCCCTTAACCTAACATTAATATATATATTAATTTTAATCTAATCTTTAAATTTTATATTGTTTTAGAATTCAGAGAATGCTTTTATTTATTTGCCCGCTCTGGAACTATAAAAACACTAGATGAATTAACTGTCATAATGAGAAGCCTGGGATTATCACCAACTAAGTCTGAAATGAGTGGATATTTAAAACAAAAGGTAACTTGAAATTTCTTTTTAACCATAATTTAAAAAATAAATTAAAATTCTTAGCAAAAATTTTTATCTGTAATGGGAAATTTCACGAGTTTAGTGATGAAATCCCACTAGTAATAATTATATTCATAAATTCTTGATATGGTGAACCTACATCAAAAAGAGTTACTTAATGTATTTTTACAAAGAAAAATTTAATAACAGCACTAGGAATCCTAAGATCGAACTGTAAAAGTATTCCAAAGATTGAAGCCCCAAGGAAACAGAACAAGAGGGATCTTAAATAACAGAATAAGAGGGATCTTAAAACCATGAACATCAGGCAGGGGCGAAGGAAAGTATCCGACAGGGCAGAACGGAAGGACATTGTTAAGCAGGCCAAGACTGACAAAGGGTTGTACCGCCATTAGAAGAAGAAGAAGAGGAATCCTAAAATTTCCTACTTAGCGAAACTAAATTTAAATATTTACCTCTGCGCTTTCTGAAACTTCAAAGCAGGCAGATTGATGAATTAGTCGACAAGGGAATCTATAATTTGCATTCCATATGCTGTTCATCACGATAAAAATTCTTAGTGTCTTTCTGTTAATAATTCTAATACTGTCTTTCTGTTAAAAATTTAATACTTTATAACCACTACAGCATACTTTTGTTCTTAGATTGTTTGGCTCTTACTCTATGTTATCACACACTGGATAATTATAAAAAAAAATGCTACAGGTACTTATGTTGACTATACCTTAACCATTTATCAACACTCTATTAGTGTTTTTGTTTCTGTTCATACATATTTCTAGTACTCATCTTACCTATTTGATATATCAGTGACCTTTACGTTTATAACTTATCTGTTACATACAGAAAAACATTTAACAAATAAAGTATATAATATTCACTACATTCAAATATTTTTCAAAAATTTAGCTCCTTAAGAATTCACTCAAATATGTCGAGAGTTTCATTTGTGAGTATGGATTAGATTAAATCTAGAATAAAGCTTTTATCGAGAAATAAAAATTACTTCCATAACTTGTAAATGTACTAAATTCATACATGTCAGCAATAAGCATTATTTAAGCATTATAAGCAAACTTTTCAAACTATAAATATATGTTAGTCAATGATCTCTAGCAAAGACACAAACTTAAGAGTTATAGAAAAATTTCGTTACTGTACTTCCTATTTTTTCACCTTTTTTTTTTTAATAATTATGTGTTTGTTTAAGGGAGGAAAGATGTCCTTTCCAGATTTCCTGGAAGTAATGTACATTCACTCTAAGGTGGAAAACATTCCTAAAGAAGTTGTCGATGCATTCAAGGCTGCAGACCCTGGAAATACTGGAAAAATCCCTGCAAAACAACTGCGCTATTTGCTACAAAACTGGGGAGAATGCTTGTCACCAAAAGAAGTAGATAGGATTTTTAGAGAAGCTAATGTTACAGCTAATAGCATGGTGCGATATGAAGATTTTGTAAAGATTTCTTGTGCTCCAGTTCCAGATTATTATTAGATGACAATATAAACATACCAGTTTACTGGCTTAAAAGTAGCTAAACTTATTTTTGCTTACTATTATTCGCACATTATTATTTTATGAAATGTACTTAAGTTGTTAAATAAGAGCAAGGTCCTTCCATTTAATCATCTTCCATTGTATAACCTTGGATTTTTTAATATTATAACATCTATTTAAGGCTTATAATTTTAATATGGGGACTAGTGGGATACACACATTTGTATTTTACTTAAGTAATTTATTAATTATTGTATCAGGAACACATTGTCCTAGGGTAATAATTGTTAGATCATTTACCTAAAAAATTTTCAATTTGATTGTCAGTATTAAAAATATTTATATTTCTTTACAATAAACAATTCTAAATATATTTGGGAGTAATAATTGTCCGATAAGCAATTCCTTTTCTTATAATCAAGAATAATCCTAAAGTAAAAACAATCTTAAATATAGCAGTAATCTTACCTTTTTCTAGATCTTCCTTTAATAAAAAAACAGGAATTTACCATTTATTGTTACATTGTACTCTTAAACTTAATTACTATCGTAAAATAAAATATAAATTGAAAACTCGATGCTTTATATTACATTTAAATTCGCAAATGATTTTGTACAAAGTGCAAGCAAAATTACTCAAAAAACGCAAAAAAAATGTCAAGGATTTACTGTCAAATGGAAAAAAAATGTCTAAGAAAACGGTGCACGGATAAATAAACATCTCAAAAATTTATTTTTGGTAACAAAGAAAAGTATTAAAAATGTAATATTTGATGAGAAGCTACAAAATAATTTATGTGATTTTGCTGAATTTAATTAATTATTTAATTACTTTAAGTAGTGAAACTATTCGCTGATTGTCTAAATCTCGACAGTTTGTAAAAACTATAAACCTTCTATATTCTTTGATAAGCGTAGATTACGCAATGTCCACCGAGTAGGGGACAATTAAATTGGATTTGAATTTTATTAATAATCAAGTTTATAATTTTTTATAGGGCTTATAAAAAAGAAGAGAAATTTTGAATTTGAACAGGTAAATGTTGCGGTCAACACTCCTTTAACCAATTCATATCTATGTATATATGTGTATATTTAAAAACCTTCTCTTCAAATTTAAGTAATTTATTTTAATTTAAACATTAATTACGTATTTACTTAATTTGTTTATAAATTTCTTAATAATTTCTATGAAGAAATATTCAATAGCGATTTAGGAGAGGCAACACTGCATTGTCATTAATTTAGTGTTCTGTGGATTTCAATATTTTCAATCCATGAAGTGCGTCATGTCATAAGTCATGACTGTCATGTCATAATCGTATAACTCGTCTTCGTCGTACCAATTTCGTACACATAACCTCTGAATTTTAAATAGAAAAGTTTAATGTTAATTTTTTAGTATACAGTTTATTATAATACATTGTTCATTTCCTATTTGACAAAAGTAGGTATCGTTACGCACAAAAAATAATTAAAGTACTATTTAGTATTTGTAATAAACTTAAATACTTTCTTGTTTTTAGGTTACCAAACGTTTGGTTAAGAAATTAGACTAAATAATTGCGTTTTCACTGCTGAGGGTAACATAAAGGTCTACCGGTTTTTAGTTCAATTGTATTTTTAAGGTGAAAGTTACTTAATTTACATCAAGATGTCTGCTGCTATGCCAATAAATCCAAAACCATTCCTTAATGGTCTCACAGGAAAAGCAGTCATAGTAAAACTAAAATGGGGCCACGAATATAAAGGCTACCTTGTTTCGGCTGATGGATATATGAATTTACAATTGGCCAATACTGAAGAATATATTGAAGGAAAACCTACAGGTATAGTAAATTCAATGTAGTACCTATCCTATCTTTAATATAGTACATGATAGTATATACATTGAAATTATCCTTATTGTGTTTTTTCTATGCCTATTCTCCACTTTTATTTGTTAACACTATATAGAATATGTGATAATGTCTAAAATGAGCCTAAAAAGTATAAAAAAGCGTTATAATTTATAAGGCAAATAATTTCCTAGAGACAACAATGGATAGATGCTCATTTGAAGATTGAAATACCAGATGGAAATATTGCAAGAGATAAAAATAGCCAAGTTAATTGTGGGTCTATAATTTGGTTTGGGATCCTGGGATTGGAATGTCACAATATAGCATTGGCAACCTTACAAAGGTAGATGACCAAGAGGAAGATCATAGATGAGATGGGTAGATGACAAAAAGAATAGCTAGAACAAATTGAAAGTATGTTGTTCAGGATGAGATCAATGGAAGGGTCTTGAACCTGAAACAATTTGCATCAACCAAAATAAAAGGATTGTGAGAAAATTAACTTTTTGATTGTAGCATGCTTTGATAATATAGAGCTTTGTGGTGTTATAATATGCATAAGTTTAGTTTTCCATACATTAAAGTTATATTTGAAATAAGATTGACAAAAGGTTACGTCCTTGTTATCAACCCTTTTCTTGTTTCAATTTCTACTGTTAAATTTCAGTTTTGTGTAATTTTTGCCATTTTACTCAATAGATACATATATTTTTAGGTACCTTAGGGGAAGTACTTGTCAGGTGTAACAATATTTTATATATCAGAGGTGCGGAGGATGATGATGAAGAGGGAGAAATGAGGGAATAACATGTAGTTTTTTGTGTATAAGTTATAGTTTAATCACACTCATACTTTCATATTGAAATGTCAAAACATTTTTTTATTATTTATAAATGTATGGATGAAACAAAGAACTTTGGTGTACTGTGTAGGTTTAATAACTCTGTTGGTAACTGTTTATATGATTAATTATTTTGAAAATATAAAATATGTTCAGGCCTTATCTTAACTAAAATGTAATAGTCCTTACATACCCCTTTTCTTACCTAGTCTTAAGAAGAAGACAATTTAATATGCAGATATGTATTTGTAATATTTTATATGTAGATTAATTTTAGGTTAGGTAAGGTTGTATTACATTCATATACATAATACAAAATAGACTGACGACTGCACTATAATCGTGTTTCCCCAGTGTGATAGAGAAAACTGATTCAAAGCAGTTCCTTCATCTCTTTCTAATGGGCCAGATTATTTAACCATGTGATCTTCTCATTGGTTATTTTAGTCACTTGGTCGATAAACCTAGCAAATTAGAAAGAGATTCAGGGATTGCTTTGTGTCAGTTTTCTCTATCTACTGGGGGAACAGGCTGGTATTGCAATGATCAAGTTTATCTGTCTATGATTACATTATTTTCAAATTGTAAGTTTTTATTTCTATACCTAAAAATGTAATATTTTTATAGTATCAATCACATGTGAAATAAATAGTTGAAGTAAGTAAGTCTTGTTTCTTGTTTATATTAGTGTTTTTAAGACTAAAAGGAAAAATTCAATGTAGAATCACTGTGGAACGACTCTACAAGAGAAATGTACCGAAGGATGCTAGTCTAGAAGCTACAGCTGAATTAAATACACAATATTGAAGATATAAATGCAAGCTGGGAGAAAATTAAAAACAACATTGAAGAAGCAGCAACAGAAGCTAGCAAAACGCAGTCATACTGAATAAAATAAACAACAACAATACACCATGGTTCAGAAAAGAAATGTAAAGAGAAACGAGAAGCCTACACAAAGTACAAAACATCAAATTCTCCAGACTCCCAAGACACCTATAGAAGAATATGAAATGAAACAAAGCAGTTGGTAAGAAGAACAAAAAGTGAACACTGGAACAGTTTACCAAAAGGATGGAAAGTAATGTACACAAAAACAAATATGAGATTCTTAAGAAACTAACAGAAAGAAATGACAGACATGAAGAAATACAATAACATACCAGCAAATGAATGAGAAATATACCTGACGGAACTATTTAAAGGAGAAAAAATAATATTCAACACAATAACGTACCTGAATTAAGACACGAAATCAGTTTTCAGGTAGTAGAGATAGCCATAAATTCACTCAAAAATAGAAAGTCCCTGAGACCAGACGGAATAACGAACAAGCTTCTAAAACAAAACTGCAAGATACCAGACGCATGAAGAAACAGCAAAATGATACCAATGTTCAGGAAAGGAGATAAAGAAGACCACACCAATTAAAGGGGTATAAATCTTCTGAACACCACAACAGTCTTAACCAACAAAATCAATAAACTAACAACTTTATCAGATGAACAACAAGGATTCAGGTCCAGCGTAGACGCAGTATTTATACTAAGATAAATCACAGAAAAGGCCATCGAGTACAATAAACCAGTCCATAAAACATACCAATCAATATTATACAAACCATCAAAAACATCTAATTCCATAATCGAATACAGGCAAAGATAAATGTAAAACTAACACATAGTATACCAGTACAAACCGGAGTCGGGTGACTCGTCACAGGGTGAGAAGCCCACTTCTCTTTAATATAATAATGGACGAAATAATACAAGCAGTACGTAAAGATCATGGTTACAGAATGAGGAAAAAAGAAATCCAAATATTATGTTATGCAGACGACGCCACATTAATAGACAAGCTCCAAAGATTAACACACATCAATACAACAGCCAAAAAATAAAATAATGATATCAGCAGAAAGAACCGTCATCGTAGTGGGTATGACAACATCTAAATACCCATTACATTGTAAAATCGAAATACACGGGAAATAATAAAGCAGGAAGCAAGGTTAGATATTTGGGAATAGATATAACTAGTTACGGAGATGTTGAAGAAGAATTACGACAACAAAGCTTAAAAGCAAGTAAAGCGGCGGGATTCTCTTAATGACACAATCTGGAAGAACAAACACCTAAGACAAGACACAAAAACAAGAATCTATAAAGCATCAGTTAGATCTATATTAACATACACGGCGGAGACAAGACCAGACACATCTAAAAAGAGACGACTACTAGAAACAACAGAGATGAAACTACTCAATACGACGAATATCAACGAAAAGTTGTTGGATAGGGAGAGAAGCGAAAACATAAGGAGAGCATGCAATATAGAAGACATAAATAGATGGGTGACAAAACGGAAACAGGAGTGGAAACACATTAGTAGAATAGCAGAGGATAGGATAGTACGAATAGCATGAGATAAGTCACCAAATGGACGAAGAAGTATTGGCAGACCAAGAAAAAGATCGTGCTACAATTTAAACAATTTAGGAGGCTAATATTGAAGAAGAAACAGGCTTAAAGCCTACATACAAGAAGAAAGAAGCAGAAGACTAAAAGGAAATAAGATTTTTTGGAGATCCAAATTCATGTATCAAATTTTTCAGAATAACTTGCAACATATGAATATAACTCTATAGACCCATGTTGCTTCATTAATATTCATTTCTAACCAAACCCTAATCATCTAACCTATCCTCTGTCTGTTTGGCATTAATTTAATAAGTTGATTTACTCTTTATCCTCTGTTGGTATTTTAAATTTTCATTGGAATTTTTTATCACAACATAGCACCACTCCACATCCTTCCATTTTATGCACTCTACTCCTACTCTATTTAAATCATCTATAAATTTTAATTTTTTATTTAAGCTGATCATTGAGTGAACACGGTTAATCCGGCCCTACCCTGGTGTCTTCTGGCCTAGTATACTACTCCGCCGAAAGATCCCAGGATGTCTTGTTCCGCGAGGTAGATGTCCAAAAAATATTTCCCCCGCCATTGACTGTCAGAATTCAATAGATACCTTCTTAGGCTCTTACTGGAATCTGGCAATACGGCAATTAAAAAAACACAGTAGAAAGAGCATTAAAACTACCTTGGCACCATAATAAATAAAGAATGGTCCAAGAACCAAGAGGAAAGAGTCCGCATCGAAAAAACTAGATTTACCTTCAATCAGACGAGGGTCTTTTTAAAAAATTGCAATCTCTCTTGATATAAAAGTAAGAATGCTGCTAGTTACGTCTTCATGTTTTGTTTTATGGTGTTGAATGGTGGATATTGAAGGAAGATATGTACAAGAGATTGGAAACGTTAGAGATGTGGGTGTATTGGAGAATACTCAAGATTCCGTGGACTGACCGAACTACAAATGAAGAGATTCGCGGAAGAAAAGCCGAGAGGTACTTCTTCTTCTTTTTGTGCCACTCCTATCGGAGATTGGAAATCATCAAGGCTATTCTGACCTTGTTTACGGCTGACCTAAAGAGTTCATTAGTGGTGCAGCCAAACCACTCTCTCAAATTCCGCAACCATGACATTCTTCTACGGCCTGGATTCCGTTTTCCTTCTATTTTCCCTGCATTATATTTTGAAGTAATGCGTATTTATGTCCTCATCATCAGGTGACCAAAATATTCAAGTTTTCTTCGCTTTAGCGTTAACAAAATCTCTGGGTCTTTTCCTATTCTTGTATTACTTCACAGTTTGTTATTCTTTCAACCCAACTAATCTTCAGCATTCGACGGTAGCACCACATCTCGAAACTTTCAATATTTTCATGTTGTTCTGTTTGAGAGTCCAGGCCTCTACACCGTATAATAGCGTGTTAAATACATAGCCTCTCAGCATTCTTAATCGTAGAGGGATGCTTATATTTCTGTTGCAGAAGAATTTTCTCATCTTTATGAAGGTGGCCCTGGCAATTTCGATACGTCTTTTTATTTCACTGTTTTGGTCTCCAGTTCGTTTACTTAAGTTCCCAAGTATTTGTAGTTTGATACTTTTTTCAACTTGAGTGCCGTTTATACTAATATACGCTGGTTGTGTCATGTTTTTACTGAAGACCATATACTTGGTTTTTTTAATATTGATATTTATACCATAATTGTTGCAAGCAATATTTATGTCTGTAAGTAATCTTTGTAATTCTTCTACTGTTCTTGCAACTAGTACAGTGTCGTCCGCGTATCGAATATTATTTACAATCTCTCCATTAATTACGATTCCTCCGTTTGCTTGTAAAGGGCTTCCTGACAGATGCTTTCACTATATACATTAAATAACAGAGGTGACAAAATGCAACCCTGTCGTACTCCTCTACGTATTTCTATTGCTTGTGATGTTTCAGTTTCTATTTTGATGTTAGCTTTCTGATTCCAATATAGATTGAGAATTATTCGCAGATCTTTATTATCTATGTCCTTCCTTTCAAGAATCTCTCTAAGCTTATCATGGCGTACTCTGTCAAACGCTTTTTCAAATCGATAAAACACGTATGTACCTCCTGATTAACGTCTAGGCATCTTTGTGTGAGAACATTCAAACCGAAGAGAGCTTCTCGAGCACCAAGCCCTTTTCTGAACCCCATCTGTGTATTACTAATATCTGACTCCAACTTTTGATAAACTCGGTTGTGGATGATTTTTAGAAATATCTTTAGTAGGTGGCTCATTAAAGATATTGTTCAATGTTCTGAACATTCTTTAGCATTAGATTTCTTGGCAGTGTAACGAATGTAGACAACAGCCACTCTTGAGGTATAATGCCAGTATTGTATATTGTATTAAATAAGTGCAATATTATACGAGAGGTACTGAACATCATCAAATCTCCAAAGCTACTGTACTTCGGACACTTTATGCGAAATGAATCCAGGTATGCTCTTCTACAAGCCATCTTGCAAGGAAAATATTTGGATAGCGAGGTCTAGGAAGAACAAGAATAAAATGAAATACTTATAACGATTTCTTTTAAAATTTTGAGATATCCACTTAAAAGTGGATATTTAAGAATCTAAGAAAGTTTTTTTTAATCAATATTCCATAATATTTTCTTGCTTTTATGCCCTTTTCTGCGCTAGATAACACATATTTATACCCAAATGTAAATAAATTTACCTTATTTTTTTCATTTTAATAATATCGAATTTAATATTAAGGGATATAGCATGATCCTGAGAATCTCCATTTCCAACGAGAACAATATGATCATTATTACGACAGTTTGAATGCCGCACAGTATGTTGACTTGTTAGCTAATCTCCCCCGAATGACAACCATTATTTGTGTTGCG